ACATTGAATGAGAAATAAGAGTTTATCACTTATTCAATGCGGGAAATCCAGAGTTTCAGCATACCCAAATATTTGCTTCAAATGTGTTTGGCTAAGCCCAGACTTTCAATAGTTTTTATAACAGTTAATAATCACGTCTGCACACTTCTTTTCCAAAGAGCGGTATTTAGATCTTATGAAAGGAAGGAAGACAACTCAGTCAAGCTTAGCTATGCGTTTTCTCTCACAAGGGTGGTATCTTCAGCAGCTACAAACATTACCTGGGGTACGGGTGGTGGTGAAGAGGAGGTGCCATCTACAGATGTCTTAGTTTTGCTTCCAGGCTGACATCTTTGAATTGTTCCATTTTAGAACTTCGTAGTCTCCATTCCCAGGCCTAAAGATTTTAATTTTTTTTGTAACATAACTGAGTCATCAAAGCCAGGAAGCACTGAGTAATGTCTATGCTAAGTGCGAGGTATGTGTGTGGGGGCCTGGTTCTGCCTAACGGCTGTTGTGGAGGTGGGCACAGGATTTATGGCTACAGTTGTACAGATGCGGATCCAAGCCTGGCAAGGACAGAATTCAACGTGGCCCACTACTTCCGGCTGGTCACCGCGGGTGGAGAAGGAGTCCCAATCAGCTGTTCTGTGCTGCGTGAGGCTTTTCAGTTCTCAAGGCAGTATCTGCCTGTTAAGTGGATTCATAGCCTTTGATTGTTACCTGCTTCACATAGCTTAAAACTAGATTTACTGACATAGAATTTGTATACAATGACACACCATCTAAGTGTGCAACCTAATTCCTGATGTTTAGTGGTGCTGTTGACTAAGTATTCGGCTACTAACCACAAGGTTGGTGGTTCAATTCTACCAGCTATTCTGGGAGGAAGCTGAGGCTTTTGGCTCCTTTAAAGGATGACCTCAGAAACCCAGTATCGGCATACTGTCACTCAATGGCAGTGGGTTGGTTTTATTGGGCCGAGTTGTAGTTGTCAGGAACATTTCCTTCCTATCAAAAATTTCCTCATTCCTCTTACTCATCCCGTCCTGGGCAACCGATGAGGTACCATTACTGGAAATTAGACCTTCAGAATCTGTGGTCCTTTGTGCCTTTATAACTTAGTATGCTTTTTACTAATAATTTTTTATTGCTGAATTATATGTAAATATCCTGATATGGTTAGCCATTCAACAATGGATACTTGGGTTCTAGTTTTGGGCTCTTATGAATCCTCTTATGAACATGCTTTACATAGACATGCAAGGGTGTTATTATTGCACTGTACAGATATTGTGACCCTGTGGGATAAACTGTTTTCCTCACCTATGAATGGGAAGATTGGCAGCTTGCATCCAGCCGGCAGCACCTCTGAAGCAAGGCCTGGTGTTTCCTGAACAGCCAGAAACCCTTCCTGGCATGGATCTCAGTTCTGCTTCACAGCACAGAAGCTGGAATCGACTTGACAGCAAAGAGTGGTTTTTTGATAGTTCCTTTTATGCTAACTTTCATTAATGTTATTAACTTCCGAACAAAGCAAGCAAAGCAAAGCAGGGGGAAAATGGCAGGAAAGAAAATGAGAGAGGTAATGACCAATTTAGGTATCACATTCTTTTAGGATAATTTACAAGTCTTTTAAGCTTTATATTTGTTCCCCTAATCTTCATGTCTATTTTATATAAGCTACATTCCCTCTGCCTCGATGCTGGCTCTTGAGATATGCTCACATTACAGGTGATAACTCCACTTAGGAGGCCAGCTTAGGGCTGAGTTTGGTTGACAAATACCACGGCATTGCCTAAATTGGTCATCATAATTTAACCTTCTTCATCAGCTACCTTTTTTTCAGCTTCTAGTTACAAAAGCATTTGAAACAGTAAAATATTTTATCATTAAAAGGAATTATTTTACTTATACAAATGTTTTTAAAAGCTGTTTGCATCTATTATAAATTGACTTATGTACTCGAACATGTTGACTTAGTTGAGTAATGATTCTCACTTCATTAGCAGTTGCATAAAGATGTAATGAGGCAGTTATGCAAGGATACAATCTTCCCTGTGGTGAGATCCGATGTGATTAGCCCGGATCTGATGTAAAGGGGATCATATCCTTTTGTACTTCCATAATTTCAAGTCAACTTGGTAAGTAGGTTATAGCTTCTCTTCTTCCCTAGAGGTGGGACACACTCTCTCTCTGCTACACTTTCCTGTTGAGAAGCCACATGGAGCCACACTGACAGCAGCCAGAGCCCTGGAGATGCATCCACTGCCATCTGATCTATAGGACTTTCCATCCACCAACTTGTGATCTTCCTGCATTCAGCATCATTGTATGTGCTGAGTAAAGATGAATTTATGGACTAGTATTGGACATATGGGCTAATATTGGACTTATGGACTTGATCTGGACTGGGATATTTTCTCAATACACAATTGATTTTAAAGCTCTCTTACACATATATGAGTGTCAATGCATTTGTTTCTCTAGTCAACCCAGTCTAATATATATGGGATGCAACACCCTTATTCAGGTCACAACCCTGACCTGACACATCATTAAGGAGTTTCCCCTGGGGCATGGTCTGCATCACCTTTTATGTTACCAGATGAAAATAAAGAAACATGAACCGAGATCAGAGTACAGACAAATTGGAGGGATCATAGATGAATGCTTGTTGAGGGGAGGGGAGAGTAGGAAGGGCTGACCCCCAGGTGGGGAGAGAAGAGACCATGGATGTTCTTGGGAGCATTAGGTGGGGAGGGTCTAGTGGCATGCAGGGGTGGGCAGAACTGACCTATGGTGCCTGGCGTATGCCAGGAACCCAGGCTGATTGCCATAGAACACCGAGGCATGAATCCTGGACCTTCAGGGTGCAAGGACCTGCGTTGGCAAGACCCCATATGGAGATCCCACTGGGTGAACTGGACTCTACTTCAGACACGCTTGTAAGCTGAGGACTTCAGCTGGAAAACACACGGTGTCTGAGGAAGCAGACGAACAGCGGTACCAAGAGCGGTGCACTGTTGGTTGACAGACAAACAAACAAGGTCTTGGTACATCAACAGCCTGTATGCTGTATTAAGATACGTACATTCTGGAAATCCCATGATGACCATTTTATTAGATTATGCTTATGCATGTTTATATTAGGGTGCATCTCAGAGGTGTGCTGCCATTGGTGAGCACTTGCTTGAAGCCGTGTTACTTAGATTCTGTTTTTTGGTAAAAGGAAACTCAGAGGGACGTTGAGCCTATAGGGAAAGAAAAAGTAACAAGGGTTTGGGGGGAGAGCCGATATAGAGGGATGGGGGAAATAAGGAGATTATGCAATTGGTCCAGGAAGGAAAAGCATGATTGGAGACTGATTATGGAAGCAATTATACAATCATGTTTGACATAACTATGGGATGATATGACATGTATTAACTCCCAAATTACAGCAAATCTTTAAAAAAGCACTGATCTAGGAATGGGTTTTGGGCTTACACTAAATCCTAGCTCCAACTTAATTACAATTAGTTCTTCTATCATGGCCCTGCTCATTACTTGCCTTCATGAAAGAATCACTGAAGAGAAGGGTGCTACAGCACAGTGTGGTGAAGAAAGCAGATGGTGCCTGGCTATCAATAGTGTCTGGGGTCTCAGAGGCGTGTATCCAAACAAGCAGTCATCTAAGCAAGGAGTCAACTAAGTCCACACAGAAAATGCACACCAGCTTGTGTGATCCACAGATGACAATTACAAAATTCAACCATGGTGAAGAGAAAAATTAAAATTATTAACATCCAATTTATAGAAAGCTATGGAGGATAATGGGAGCCTAAAACCCATCTGCAGATTATCTAGTCAGACTGAGCCATTGACAGATCCAATCTAGCCAAAAGGCAAGTCTCAAAGAGCCTTACTACCATGTAGAGACCATTGTAATCTTGATTATGCTAGCTCAAACTCGACACTTGGTCAGTTTCCCCCCAGACACGTACTGAATTTGTACTGGGGGCCACTATCTCTTACTTGTTCCATGACAAAAATTTCCTCTCTGGATTTTTGAATGTTGATGGGGGTCTTTTCCTTCTTATGCATTATTTGGAATTTTGTCTTTAGACTATTATGATTTTAGCCTGACCAAATTTGTACGATTTTGTTTTTTTATGGTTTTCTGTTTGGTGTCCCAGTTGTGAATCACAGGAGGAGTGGATGCATAAAGAGAATACTGATACAAGGGATTATAGGGAATGCAGGGGTGGGAAAGGGGATTTTGGGAGTAAATAAAGTGGGGAGAGAGCAATAAAAGTGATTGTGATTGCACAACTCATTTTAAAGGCGATTTAACCATGGGGGGTACTCTAAGATTGATGTGATGGTGACTATACAATGCCCCTTGATATAACTGAACAGCTGAACTATTGAACTGTATGTCATGTAAATTATGTGCCAATAAAACTGCTGGGTTAAAAAAGAAGAGTCTAGAACAGAACAAGTTCTTTTGGGACCCAGCGTTCCTACACTGGGAAACTCCTAGACCCAGGCAAGGAACTCCCCGAGCCACCGGAAGGAGAAAGCTTCCCCAGGAGCTGGCACCTGACTTCGAACCTCCCAAACGGGGAGAGAATAAGTTTCTTCTTGCAAAGCCCTGTTGGTGGTAGTCCTGCTCCAGCAGCACTGAATAACAAGAGAGCAGCATGACAGAATTTGTTGCACTTTTTGAATTTAAAATAGTTGCTTCCATGGGAATGTAAAATGCCTTAGGTTCAGTTTTAAAAGCTGTTGTCATAGTACCTTTCTTAAATTTCTATATTCTATCTTATATTCTTACAATCTAGAAAAACTATGAGGTGTCATTTTTAAAAAGCCAATATTCACCAAAAAAGACTGTTTTCTTTTTTTTTCCTCAGTAAAAACAGTTCTTGAACCTTAAAGAATAAGTTCAGTAACTTGTAGCTTTAAGTATTTTAACTTAAACAGAAACAAAACAAACAATGAGAGGACGTGATAAGGGGAAAAATGACATTTTAAACTCAAATGATTAAACTGCTTTACTGTTTCAAATAAACTCTTCCAGAACTCTCATAATATGTACATGATCCTGGAATAATTGTTTCACTTCATAGATTATTAACAATGTACATTTAAAAACAAATATATATTTCAAGAGAAATTCTTCAAAACCATGTCTTCAACATTTCTTAAAAATAGCAGTCCAGCAAACATTTCAAGCAACATATAGCACGTTGGAAATACAGCATCTTCAGGGTAAGTTTTCTTCATTTTACTTGTTATTCCGAAGTCTTCCCTATGTAACATAGGCTGCTGTCTGCAGCCCGGCTTCACTTTCTCCAGTACTGCAGACATTACAAGTAAAGAGGGAGAGAAAAAGGAGAGAAAATAATAAGCATCACTTTACACAGTAGAGATAACCAATAAAGTCTACAATTCTAAAAACAAAAGAATAAAAACACTTGAGAGATGTAAACATAATTCAGTTAGCTAATTGGTGTCCTTTTCCTAATTTTTAATGATTCATATTGAAAGATGAGTCACTTTACTAAGTGCCATGAAGGGTACTGCAATCAATCAGAATGCAAAGGAATCCCAAGACTTTGCTTAAATATCAATTTATATAAGTAATGGGGGTGGGGTGGAGGCGTGTTTGAGTTATAAGCACAACTGGGCCAGATTATTACATGTCAGGAAAACACAATCTCATGCAGCCTAGGAAGTCAAAAACTCCGGTAGTTTTTATAGTTCTTAGATGGTCAATTTTAAGTAAGTTTGGTGAAAGACTGAAACTTTATTCCAGAGAGTGCAACCAATTAATTCCAGAAACGGTCTAGATATCACACGAAATCAATAAGTTCTGTGGGAAGGAGAGAAGCATTTTACTCGCACATTAAAATCATAAGCATAGGATGCTATACAGCAGTTAAAAGAAACTAACATTTTAACCATATACTTTGTGATAGGCACACTCACAGTTAACTCATATAAGGTTTATATGACTTTTTCTATATATGACACTGCTTTCTCTGTTTTCTTTCGAATTTATTTTGAGGATTACTTAAAGCAAAATTATTCAGCACCACTTAATGTTTGTCTTACACATGTGCAGAGATTTAAGACAACATTTCAGGTGTCTTTTGTTCATGAAAATATGTTTGCATTATCTTAAGGAGGTGGGATGCTGTTTGTAACAAAATTTTGTTCCATAAGTGTCCCCCATTATTATTTAGAGAGAAAGTGTTTTGTATACAAGAACCTCAAAAGCTGACTGGTTTTAATTTGCTACGATTTAAATTGGTAATTCTAGAAATGATACTGTAAGATTAATAATAAAAGGAATGCAATTTATGGTTTGGCAATATAAAATTACATTTCCTAGAGTTCTCAACACTCATATAAAATCACAAACATTTATTTGGTGCCTACCATATGCCGTCAAAAGGACTGATTCACAGCAAGCCCATGTCTGTGGCAATGTGGACCTGCACTCCACAGGGTTTTAAGTGAGATAAATGTTTACACTCAGAAGTTGCAGCACACACACTCAAACACACCCCGAGAACTCGGACAAATGAGTGGTGCTTATCCCAAGTAAAGAATCAACATGTCTCAGGATGTGCAGGACTATCATGGCGGTTGGGAAAACGCATCAGAGATAAAAATTTGGTTTGGTGTGGAGGGATAGAAGATGAGTGTCGTAGAGTGATCTTTCTTCATAGAGTTCTTCTAACCGTGTCATTGTAAGCCTCAGCAAATGATTGGGTGGGACTATGCAAACAGGGAGTGTGTAACACTAATAGAGGTGATTGGCCAGTTTTAGTAATTACTGTCCTGTCCACAAGGATGGGCCCCATCTCTGAGGCAGGAGGAGAGTGAAATGCTAGGACCACTGAAAGAAGAGTCCGCAGTGCAGCACGTTCAGGATCCCTATGTGAAATGGCAGAGGCCGAGGAAAGGAGACCACAAAACAGAATCCAGGAGAGACATGCTACACACGAGTTTTCACTGTAGCTAAAGTCAGCGCATAAAGGCACAACAGGAATATCAAAATGACCCAAGAAAAGCTGTTTAGAAGGCAACACATTAGAAAAAGGTAGCTTTCTCAATGAAGTCCCCAGGGAATTCCAAAAATAGACTTTGGGGCAAGGTCATGGCACCCCATCAGTCTCGGCCGGAAAGCACATCTAAAGGTCAACAAACAGACCTGGAACTATTTAGAGGCTTTTTGTTGTTGTTGTTGGGGTGGGTTTTTTTTTTTTTGGGGGGGGGGGTTGTTGTTTGTTTGTTTTGGTTTTCTTTTGCTGTTTTGTTTTGCGCTTCCCTTTTTTGGTGTATGTGTGCTTATTATTGTCTCTGCAATCCTATCTAGATAACATAGGCAGGATAAACAATCCAGAGGAGAAAACAAAGCGACCAACAGTTCCAGGCGGACATGGAAGAGGTGAGGCGGGGAAAGGAAGTGGGTGTTAACAAACCCAGAGACAAAGGAACAACATATGATCTAAAATAGATGGTGAGGAGGGTATAGGATGCCTGGGAGGGCTTAATCAAGGGCAATGTAGCAGAGAGGAATTACTGAAACCCAAATGAAGGCCGGAAATGATAATGGGACAAGAGGAAAGTAAAAGGAAGTAGAGGGCAGAACTAGGAGGCAAAGGGCATTTATGAAGGTCTAAATACATGCTTGGACATATGCAATATATTTATATATAACAACAGGGAAATAAATCTTTGTACATATATTGATATGTTAAGTATTAAGGTAGCAGATGGACATTGGGCCTTGACTCAAGTACTCCCTCAAAGCAAGAACACTTTGTTCTAATAACCTGGCTATCTGTGATGCTCGCCTTCTGGACACGATTTCTGAAGACAAAATGGGTGCATATCAAATGTGCTGAAGAAAGCTGATGGCGCCCAGCTATCAAATGATATAGCATCTGGGGTCTTAAAGGCTTGAAGATAAGCAAGTGGCTATATAGCTGAGAAGTGACAAAGCCCACATGGTAGAAGCACACCAGCCTGTGTGATTATGAGGTGTCGATGGGATCAGGTATCAGGCATCAAAGATCCAGAACAAAAAATCATATCAATGTGAATGAGAGGTAATGTAGTGTGGAGGCCCAAAACCACCTATAGACAATTAGACATCCCCTTACAGAAGGCTCACAAGGAGGAGATGAGCCACCAGTTAGGGTGCAAAATAGCACTGATGAAACATACAACTTTCCTCTAGTTCTTTAATGCTTCCTCCCCATCACTATCATAATCCCAATTCTACCTTACAAATCCAGCTAGACCAGAGGATGTACATGGGTACAGATAAGAGCTGCAAACACAGGGAATCTAGGACAGATAAACCCCTCAGGACCAATAACGAGAGTAGCGATACCAGGAGGTTAAGGGGAAAGTGGGGGAAGAAAGGGGGAACCAATCACAATGATCTACATATAACTCCCTCCCTGGGGGACAGACAACAGAAAAGTGGATTAAGGGAGACATCAATCAGTATAAGACATGAAAAAATAATAATTTATAAATTATCAAAGATGAGGGAGGGAGGGGGAGAAACGAGGAGCTGATACCAAACCAAGGGCTCAAGTGGAAAGAAAATGTTTGAAAATGATGATGGCAGCTTGACACAGTGGATATATGCATGTATTGTGATAAGACCTGTATGAGCCCCAATAAAATGATTAAAAAAAATAGGTATCTTTCAAAAAAAAAATCTCCCCAGTAACAATACATAAAAAAACAAACTTTTTATCTTTGGGCAGATGACATGTGCCTGGAGGTTCTTAGAGCTCTATTCTCCTTGGGCCATCATTTTGCATGTCTGAAGCAGGATAAACAAATCTGACATCTTAGAACAGTTTTTCATTGTTTATGAGTCATATTTCTTTTGGGTGGCATAAGGGGGACATGGAATTTAAAAGGAGACTCCCTCTATTTGCCATATCAGAAACATTTTTGGGCTTAGTACACAGCTATTAAAGAGTAATTGAGACAATACAATTTTTACCTCTTGGGAACTTTGAGTGCTTTAGATCAAGATTTTAAACTAGAAAGAATTACATGTTACTCAAATCTGACTGTTAAGAGGAAAAGTGTTCAAATTGTAAAGAATTATTCCATTTTGGGGGCAATTTGTATAAGTAAGGAAGTTAGAAAGAGCAGAGAAATAAAGAAAGACAAGAAAATGGGAAGTTGGCACGAGTAAAGTAATGTTAAAAAACAACTACAGAAGAATCTATAATTACATTTATTTGTCTGGGACCTTAGTAATGCTTTAAACATGCAATATTTTGTTACTGCTGCTTTGCAATGGAGACACCCATGTATCTATGCCACAGATAAGCACTAAATAACCCTTATTATTTGCAGTATAAATATATAAACTACAATCTTATCGCATTTCTATAATTAAGGCCAACTCGGTGTTTGTTAGCAAAGAGTGAATCTTGATTATAAAATAAAGGTGACTTTATTTCCTGCTGATCTATTCCATGCTGAGCATAACCTACAAGAGTATTACATCTAGGCATAAGGACTTCAAATAAAACTATCAAAGGAAAAAGAGGAAGCAAAACTCTTACAGATGATCAATTTTTCTTCCTACAATGGTTTTCCCTGGTGTTTGGGGCCTTTAAAGAGAGCTAGCCTTAAGTGTACTTATATAGTACACTTATATAGTGTACTATATAAGACCAAATATAATTTTCATAAATGAACATTGTTATAGTGTATTTATAACTAGCTATAAAAAGAGTATGTACATATAGCTAAACATAACTATTATTACAAAGGCTTAAAAACAGGGTTGTTCTGATTCATCAAAAACTGAAACAAAACGGAAGAGTAAACATTAGTCCAACACTGATTTTCTGAACAGACACACAAGCACAATATACAGGATGACAATAATTATTACTCTTTACCAGAGAAATAAAAGGAGAGATGGGCTCGAGTGGTCTTAGACAGCTACGCATTCTGCACACTTAGGTTACTCAGTTCTAAGGTCAGTCAGTGACTGGCTGTCCACAAATACATAGGAGCACATCAGCTGCAGCAAGACACATCCCGCACATGCGTTCTCACTGGAACTACAGCTACAGCTACAGAAGGGAAAACAGGAATATCAAAGTGACTCAAGAAAAGCCCTTCAGAAGGTAAGACTTTAGAAGAAAGTATCTTTAAAAAATTTCTCACCAGTAATACATAAAAAAAATCCCCGCCAGTAATACATAAACAAGCAAACAAACACAAATGGTTACTATGCTTGTGCAGTAGGCTGGGCAGATGACTTACACTTTGTGGTCATCATGTGCCATAAGAAAATGAGACATGCTGGAGTCACAGGGCAAGCTATCAGATCACAGGGACATTCTCAACCAAGCTCATGGCCATTGAGTCAATTCTGACTCGCAGCGACCCTACAGCACAGAAATGTTCTTTTGAATTTCAGGGATTGTAAATCTTCACGGGAGCAGATGGTCTCCTCTTCTCCCAGAGTACCCGGGGCTTTGCCCTGCTGCCCTACGGTTACGGCCCACCACTGAATTGAACCCTCCTCTGCCTCCTTAGATTAGGAGAAAAACAAACACTCGCTTTCTTAGGACTCTAGTCTGACTCCTAGGGACTGTGTAGAACAGAGTAGAGCTGCCCCTGTGAGTTTCTAAGACTTTAAATCTTTATGAAAGTACACAGCCTTCTCTTTCTCCCTCAGTTACTGCTGACCTTGCGATTAGCAGCTCCAAGTGCAACCCGTTTTGCCACCAGAGCTGCGACTCCGAGACAATAGGTGTCTACGGGAGGAGAAGGCTCAGACTTTCTCCCACAGTGCTGCTGCTGGTTTCAAACTGCTCACCAAGCAGATCACAGCCCAACGAGTGACCACTGCACTCCCAGAACTCCTTATGAGAGGCACTTGTAAAATAAAGGAATACCTATAATATACCTAAAATAAAGGAATACCTATAATGTTTATTAGGAAAAACATGCATTGCTGGAGAAATGTCAGGCCAAATAACTTTTCAACTTTCCACATTTACTGTTTTTCTTGTAACACCCCCCAGCTGCTCCCTAAACACACACACACACACACACACACACACACACACACACACACACATACACCCTCCCTAAAACAAACATAGCTGAATTCCCTTATAGGCACATAAATGTTGCTACAAACTAGTGTCCCTCAACATATGCTTTTTCTCCTTGAAAACAACAGGGATTGCTAAATGGATGATGTTGATACATTTCTAATGTTTTGAGCTGGAACTTCAGCTTTTAAATCCAATCTGTTTAAATAGTCAGTCTTGGTTGGTGTGTGTGTGTGTGTGTGTGTGTGTCTGTGTGTCTGTGTGTGTGAGTGTGTAAAACTCCAATCCTAATCTATGAGGACTCAGTTATCTAGATTTAATTTCTAACAAGATCAATGGAAAATACACCCCATTCCTGAAATGTCCACCATCCATCAGTGAAGTAAAGGCCAGAAAGGGGTCACAGAACCAAGGAGGAAATGGGCTGAGGAGTGCAAGATGACACTATTGAAAAGCCTGGTTTCAGAGGCATCACTGACCCAAACCATGTAACCCCTATCTTTCTGGTACAGACAAGACTGTAAAGCCCTTGAAAGATCATGCCCGCAGGAAAACGGGTCCTGATGATGGATTTTCAAAGACAATGACCCAAATAAAAGTGTTTTGCGGTGGGAAACATGTACCGCTAATAGGTGAGGGTTGCTAGGCAACAAACATGGTAATGCTTCATCTCTACCCTGCCTTAGGAAGTGTGTGATGGAGCAAAGGAACCTTTTCTGTATTTCAACATAATAGTTGTAGCTGACAATTTTAGTCTTAAAAGATAATTTCCTTTATGTTGAAACAACTGTAACTTTTGTTAACACGTATTAAGTCTATCTCCATTTGAAGCAAAAACAAAAACCTTGCTGTTTTATAGTCCATATTGACTAATGGAAAAGGAATAACGAGCATAAAGTAATATTGAATTCTTTTAAAAATGTTCTAAATGATGGCAAAAACAGATGTTGGTCATCACAATCTGAGTGCACATGTGCGATTCATTAGTATCCATACTTGGACAATATATAAGTAGAAATGCGAGTCATCAAAGAGAAATCAACTTCACTCCAGAGATTAGGTAAGAAACAGCTGTGCTTCTATATAATTTTTTTAATTTGAAAAGACTCATGTGAAGGTAAATCCTAATTTAGATTTCCTTTTCTAAGCAAGTTTCAGTGAAATTCAACAGTTAGATTATCCTTATTTTGATACTGAATTTGTTGCAAAAGGATATGGGGTATAGACAACATGTGAAGGAAGCCTTTAAAATCTCAAGCATCTTCAAGTTCCTATTTTAGAATAAAGAATAAGAGCCGAAGACCTGCATGTGATAGGCTAGGAAATGCTTTATGGTCTCCGGCCTTCCCCCAGCGACAAAAGAGGCACAAGGCACATTCACCTTGTAATGTCACAGTAAACATTACATGATATTTTAAATGGGGTGGGACTTTATGAAGTACAATGCTCAAATAAACATAAAGTGAACCGATTGTATAAGAGAGTGTGTCCAATACTATAAAATGGAGAACTGAAATACGATCTAAAGATCCTTACCTCCATTATTCCATACGCATAGTAAACCTTCACTTTTACCATTCTAGAAGGCTACGATAATGCTCTTTCTTAAGATACTGGGAGCTTTCAGGTATTTGCTTTTACCCTTACGTTCACATTGCCACAATGCTAGCTTTCAGCATTATTTTCATATCCAGAATCAATTCTATAGTGGTGACTGTTGAAAACATGGTGAATATAAGTTAACATCACCAAATTGTACACATAGAAATGGTTGAAGTGTTTCAGTATATATATGATCATAGTAAACCCAGGGATTGCTAAAAATCTACTCAAGCTGCACTGCATTTGCAACAAGCAAAATTATTTAACCTCTGGGGTCCAATTAAAGAGCATGCCTACCGACCAATATTATAATTTTCTTCTATGTCCATCCATTCTTTTCTCTGAGGAAAGGAAGATACCAATAATTCAAAAGAGTTCAGTCAGTCAGTCTTACAACTTAATTTGTTTAGTGGAAGCACACGCCTTTCCGCGTGTGCTTTGCATTACTTTGCTTACATTTCTTGGCCTAAGATCAACCTTCACTCGTCACTCACAACAAAGCACAGAAGCACTCATGTGGTTGTACCAGATATTAGTCATTCCCAAGAAATGTTAAGGGCTTGGGATTTTAGACTCAACAATGCATGGAACGTGTCCGTTTCAGCTGGCGGGCAGGATCTCAAAGGACTTGACTGAAAACAAACTAAACAGGTGCCAGTGGAGAGAAGTACAGCTTCTGAATGGCTCCGGGTGGTACACGGGGGAGCTGCGCTAAAACTCACTGCCTCAGAGGACTTACCTGGGCAAACTTGTGAATCTGTTCGACCACTGCGGCGAACAGGGCGTGGACACTTTCATCAATGAGGCTCTGCATGTAGTGCACCGCCTCTTCGTCAGACAGGTCTAGACGGAACTTATCCTGCACCTAGAAGACAGCAGTCTCGTTGGTCTCGTTAATGAAGAAAAAGAGGCCGTTTTTGAAGCGACAGAAACAGATGGATGCAGGCAATGTTATATGACGAGCTATTTCCACAATTCTTCCTCACAAGTTTTGAAATTCTTTAAAATACAGTTCAAGGTTTTAAATATATTAAAAAGAGTTGTGTAAATAACACCACAACCCATTTTAGAATATTTTCTTCATTTTGTACTCATTATTATAGCAAAATCTGGGAAGTGCCTTTAAGCAAAAGGTTGGAAACTCATAAATCCAATCCTCTGTACTAATATAATCCTATCAACAGAATTAAAAAAAAAATCACACAGTGAAGTTAATACCTGTATTAAAAGAAAAAAATTTGACAAAATCAAGCATCTTTTCTTGATAAAAACAACCAATGACAAGGAAATGTCCTTAATCTGATAAGGACACATGTCCGCATGTTTGCATACTCATGGTTCTAACCAGGCAATTACATGAGAGAGAGAGAAACGACATCTAGATTGAATCAAACAAAACCGTAAAGCTACCTCTGCTCACGTACGTCATGATCATTACCGACAGACTCACTGCCACGGAGTCAATGCCGACTCACAGTGACCGATAGGACAGGGCAGTTTCAGACACTGCGACTCTCTCCAGCAGTAGAAATCCCCTTCTTTCTCCCTGTGAGCTGCTGCTGGTTTTGAACTGCTGACCTTGCAGTTAGCAGCCTAACACACAACCCCTAGCAACAGGGCTCCTGGTCATGATCACATATAGAGGCAGAAAGTGTACTAAGACACTCACTAAAAATAAACTACTAAAATTAATAAGTGAATATGGTGACTTTCACTGGAGCAGTAACAATATTGTTCTCTAACTCTTTATAGGAGTTATCCTCCTTACTCTTCGCACTTATTATAATACTGCTTAAACAGCCCCGCTTAGTGCTGTCGAGTTGACTCGGACTCGTGGCGTCCTTACAGACCACAGAGGAACTGCTCCATGGGGTTGTCTTTCTTCACAGGTGCAGATGGCCTGGTCTGCCTACGTCAGAGCCACTGGTGGGTTTGAACTGCCAAACTTGCAGTTAGCAGCCTAACTATCAGCCCATTGCACCACCTGGGCCCTTCACTCACTATATTAGAATTTGGAAACACAGTTTTTTACTTGTTTTTATTTCCTTATGACTGAAACACACAAATGATTACAACAAAAGAGCAGGTTTAATACATCAGAGTGAAAGGAAAAGCTTTAATCTAAGTATTAGTTTCTTCCTGAATTCATTTGAATACTTGAGGAGCATTAGACTTCAAAACAAAACAAAACAAAACTTTACCCAAATAAAGATCAAAATTTAAAATAAAGGGCAATTAAAATGAAAATGGCATCACCATCCAACTACTGCTTAAAGATAATCAGTGCTTTAAATAATCTTTCATAATAATGCCTTTTTTTAAAGCTACAGCAACAAATTACCATAAAAATGTTACTTTGGCTTTAGTGTTTATTGATCTTATAAGGTACCAAATATAATTTAATTTTATAGGTCAGCCAAAATAGAGCTTTAGCTAATTTGTAATTGCTTATATAATGTTTTGGTTTGTTTTTAGAGTTTATTTAAAAATCAATTTAGAGGCTAATCACATCTGCTTCTTCAACATAGCATTGTGTTAGCTTGTTAAACTATTCTGATTAAGAGATTTGTCACAACACTTATAAAAGGCAGTTCTTTTTAATAGCAACATTAAAGAAAAACATGAATGTATAACAAATGGTACTTTTATCACGTGGATGACTTATTACACTAGGTTTGTTGTATTTATTTTTGCCATTATCGAAATATTGCATATTAAAATGTGCTAAGGAAAATAAGTCACTTGGTCTGTTTGTTCAGACTCATATCCACCCTGTAAGCCAGGGCACAACTGCACCCTGATGTTTAAAGACTTGTTGAGTCTTTACAGGAGTGGACAACCTCGTCTTTCTCCTCCGGCACAGCCAGCTGGGTTCAAAAGGCAGGCCTGGTAGTTCACAGCTCTCTGTGTAACCCACTCCTCCACTACCAGGGCTCTAGGAATCGGAATTGACTTGATGGCTGTGAGTTTGTGGATCTATCTGTTCATTGTTGAAAAATAGTCTATTTATTGCATTTATTTAGAACACCAGTACCACAACACTTGGCTTTTTATCAGTAATTCTTATTACATTAGACTACTTCGATAACCTTGTTTTTAATGATTAGATTTATAAGATTAGAACCATTTTCAGCAAACTTCTTATAGCACACTAACTTATTACTATGAAACACTTGCTAAATATTCGTGCTTCATGAATATATACTTAAAATGTTTAATCTCAGCTTCTGTGATTGAGCAGTGGTTCTTTCAAGAAATAAATCTGATTAAAGAAAATACAACACATTCTATATGTAAAAGGCAAGTCCCAAAAAACAAAACAACAAAAACACCCACAACGTTTATACATACTAAAAGAAATGGAAACAGAGAAATATTGTTATATCGTGTTATCACTCAAATAACTTGGATAATTTGTCTTTCTCTAAAGACCTAAAACTTATATGCACTCTAGCTCTTTTCCTTCATGAAGCCAAAGAAACATTTTTCAAGGAAGGGAAGTCATTATAGTAGAACGTCCACTTCTACTTCTTATAAGTCTGCCAATAGGAAACAGAAACTTTAGCCCATGTGAATGTGCACAACTTTCTCTTATCATTATTATTTTAATAATGATATTTAATAATAACAAATTCAAGTTTGTTTTATTTGATAAGTTCTTATTTTGGATAAAATATAACATAACCCTTTTATAAGTTATCCTTTTTGGGGAGATGATGGAGAAATCATTTTTATACTATTTAATTGTAAGTGGAATAAATAGCTAAGGAGTACTGGTCTAAAACAAAAATAACTGACATACAGGTTTTTCTTTGCTTTATGCTCCAAGCCCTTAAAATGAATTGGTTCATATTTTTTATAAGCTTGTGCTATATACTAAGATAGATACTTTAAGGGGAAAAAGGCTGATACTTAAACAATAAACCATGATATTCTATAACAGAAATAGAACAAAGACTGAACAAAGAATAAGAACATGGCTTAACTGATAGGAAAAATGGGAAAATCTCAATCTGACAAATATTGTTGGAATTCTTATAAATGACTTT